CTGCGAGCCGTGCCTGGAGACGATATCCCGGCTGAGGAGCGGGCACCTGGCCGTGTCCTGCCCGCTGTGCCGCCGGGTCACCTGCATAGGGCAAGAGCGCAGCCTGCAGGAGGCCCTGTGGGTCGACCTGGAGCTGTGGGAGCGGATACAAGAGGCCGCAGTGGTGGAAGAACAGGAGGAGGTGGAGGAGGAAGAGGATGGACAGAAACGAAGAGCGGCGGTGCAGAGGGTGGAGGCTAAACAGCAGCCCGCATTACAGGCCGAGTGGTGAGTTCATGAAAAGAAACACCAGTGTTTAACTGGAAAACGAGTCTATTTTTACTCTCCCGGAAATTTGATTTTCCAAAGCCGTTTTTTGTCGCCACACAGAGATGGTATAAACATAAATATGGGGGCTTGTTTCTGGGAACAAAACACACTTCAGGTATTTATCCAACTGAAGGGTTGGAACGATTAATCCGATTAATCGCAAGGAATCGATTATTGAACTAATCATCAACTAATTTAGTAGTGATCAATCGTTAGCTGGAGCATACAGACTCAGAAAGAACAACTCAGAGTAATTAAGTTAAAACTGCACAAAAAATATACATTTTGAATCTGTGATATAAAAAAATTAACCACAACTCCTCAAATGACATAATTTTAGATTTACCTGGTTCAAATTAGGTAAAAAAAAAAAAAGAAAAGAAAAAAATTATGTTAAGTTGAGTAGAAGGGTTAAAGTTTTCACATGTTGATGTTCGAAGAATGTCTCACAAGCATTCGCTAACGGAATGCCACATTGTTACATTTTAGGCAATAACATGTTTGTTATTTTAAAATGAATTGAATTATTTATTTGCATCTTTTAATGTATTTCTACTATTGTTAAAAAAAAGGTTGAAGTGGTTTTATGAAAAATCTGCAGAATGGGCCAATTTTTTAAATCCGATTAATCGTCAGAATAATCAATTAGTGAATCAATGGCTGGTTGCAGCCCTGTGGGAGCATCTGAGCGCCTTCAGGAATAAACTTAGGAATTCCTTACATACCGAGGCGCTGGCACGTGGGTGCTAAGCTGCAGACGTCCCATTAGCGCCTGAGCTCTGCAGCGCCGCACTCTGCCACAGGAAGCTCATCTCCCGCTCCGTCTTCCCTCTTCTCAGCGTTTCCTGGAGGCCGGCCCTGGCGCGCTGCAGGCTGCCCTCTCTGTTACGGAGGTTCAGCTGGACCAAGCCGCACCGGGAGACCGTCATCCCCGGCAGCAACAACATGTGAGTTTTCAGTTCCAGGACGCTCATTAGAGCAGACTCTGAGAGGAAAGAAAGTGACTCAAGAGGTTTGTTTTTGTTTCATTTAGAGAAATGAAATCCTGGCGCCGACTCTCAACAGACGACATCTTCTAAGAAATGCAGCCGGCGGATCCATTTGTCTTCCTGTTGGGAGACGGTTTTGTCCTCAGCTGAAGGTCTTCCCATTATTTCATCCAGGCTTAAATCTCCCAGCTGGTGTAGTGGGATTTAGTTCAGCTGTCCCAGTCAGGCTAACGCCCCCCAAACCCCTCACAGCAGATGGTCTGCTCCTCATCACTCAGTGTAACTTATTCTTTTCTTTATTTATGACAGTTTGTTGACAGAGTTTGTAATTAAACTATTTTTAAAATATTTCTCTTCCACATTTTTTTTTATTTCTTTCTTTGTGATTTTAAGGAATCATGAACTCCAGCTTGAAAACTCTTCCCTCCATCTTTCAAGAAGTATTTAAGTCAGAGCATGAATATGATAATGTGACTAGAACTTTATGCACAGCAACAACAACAAAAAGAAAGCTTTGCATAAAACACCCAGTCAGCCATGAAAGTGGATTACAATCTTCATTCATCGAGCATCTGCCAAATTTTCCACGTTAAATGATATCAGAGAACTGGATCGTCACTTTGAAGGGAACGCCCTTCGTTCCCCTGCCTGCCTGTGTCTGTGCAACAGGGTTCTGTTGTTATGAAGTGTGCCGTCACACACACACACACGTCTCACTCCGGAGCCGTTGTTTCAGCACAAATTTGTTTCGCCTCAGTCATATTAAGGTCAGTGCAGTGAGAATCCGTTAGTCGTCCCGCTGGTTTAGCAAACAGCAGGCTGCCTCAGCTGCAGATCTCTTAAAGAGACAGTCCCGCTTTAACACCTGTTATTAATCTGACTGAGCCTTTCAATTCCCTTTTTCCATGTTTTCATGTTAAAGCCGAAAGCCTCAGTGTGATTTATTTGGGATTAAATGTGAGAGATCTAAACTACAGGTGTCAAACTCGAGGCCTGCGGGCCAAAACCGGCCCACCATGGCTGTTAATGAGGCCCTCTACAACTTAGAGGGCCTCATAAATTGAAGTTTTAAGATAACAGCTACATGCTTGAATATTGTTTTATCAGTTAACTTTAACCAGTTTTCAACTATCTAGGACCAAATTACATTATTGTGAAAATATATTACACATGGACACAATTTGATCATTTTCTGACACACAGGTGTGTAATATTTTAACTATTTGCTAACGGGTAATTTTGTCTCAATTTTCTTTGGGGCTATTCATGGTCAATGAACATGAGTTTGGCCCCCATTCTATTATCCTGTTTGTATGTTTAGTGTTTGCACCTTTCTCTACCACACTTTTTTCCTTCCACTGAACTTTCTACGAACATGTTTGGATACAGTACTCTGAACAACCAGCTTCTTTAGCATTTGGTGCTCGTTCTACCGACCCACAGAGAACATGTTTGGAATCAAATGGGCTCATTAGGTTTTGACAACGTTTAACTTTTTCACAATATTCTAATTCTCTGATTCACCCAATTTTGGGTTTTCATTCTCTGTAAGCTACAATAATCAAAACTACAAGAGAAAAGGCTTAAAATATTTTACTCCATGCGCTATCAATCTATCCATATAATGCAGGTATTGCATGACAAAAAATATTTTTCATCATATACTAATTTTCTTTAGACTAATGTTCTCCAACAACTCCACAGAGCAGCTTTGTGTGGTTTAAATACTTTTACAAAGCCTCATATATTCCTGCAAAATGACTGTTATCATCGCACTAACATCATTTTATTGATTATTTCTATTAAAAAGCTGAATGTATAACCTTAACCGGGACGAGCATCGTTGGAGATTATCTCCCAGGCGGCGAACCTGCAGGGACAAGCAAGAGTTTCAGTTTCACAACACATTTCCTGACTCATCATGTGTTACTTGTTGTGTTTATATTTAGGATTAAAGTTGAACTGAGAAGGAAGGAACTCCCAGTGATGTTACAAACACATTCTGTTACAAATATTCTGCCATTTAGCATCAGACATATTCAAAGTATGTCTAATTTGATTATTGGTATCCGTAAAATAAAACTGCCCATAGTAAGCAAACTCCAGATATACATAAATAAAAGTAAATGAAAGCTTAATGACCTGCACACACAGCAGTGGTGCCTAACATATTCAGGTAGTGGTGAGGCCAAAGAACCACTTAACAACAGGAATTCCAGCAATGTAATCTTTGAAGCAACATTGAGTAAACACTTACCAGGGTTTGCTAAGTATATTAGGTAATATACATTCCTGTGTAGGGATGCTTAATCCACACAAACAGTTACAATGTCTGTGACTGTACAGTACAGGTGAGCAGCACCTGATGGCAAACAAACAGAGCTTCTCACTGCAAGGCAACAGAGCTAACACGTTAGTCACCTTTTAACCCAGGTTCTAAAAAAAGAACTGGAAAATAAAGAAACACAATTAAGACAATAACAATAGTCACATCAAACTAGCTCATTTCTTTATTAGTTCTAGAGGAGGAAAGTTATATCAGATCAATGTTTTCTAGTTAATTAGTTTATTAAGAAGAAACATTTCTATCTTCTCTATTGTGTTAAAAAGAAGTCGCTTACAAAATTAATTTGTCATGTTATAATCAATACAGTTCCTGAAAATTTCAAATAATCTTCACTGCAGCAACTCCAAAGATTCTTCTAAAAACAGTAAGAGGACTTTCAGTCACTCCTAATTTCTTTACACTTTCTTCAAATGAGAAAGGGTAAAGTAACACTACTTTACTAATGGTAAAGTAGTGTTTACCATTAGTTCATCCTGGTACCATAAAAAAACAATAATATGGACAAACAACTTCAGCCGCAGGTGAATGGCATCTTTAGCAGAGATCAGACAATATTCAGAAATCAAATTAAATTCAAGGTCAAATAACTCTTGCAGGAGATAACTGTCATACATGAATGAAATGCTAGTTTAGTTGATCTTGTCAGTGTAGTCTTGTTCAACTTTTTTATTAGTAAGAATGTGTTCATAAAGCAACCATATTCCGTCACAGCTCTGCGACAAGATTGTTCTGGGTTGGAAACTGAAAGGTTTTGGAATAGGCAGCAGCTGTTTGGGAATCATCTTTTTGTTGGCTCTGATGTTAAATTTCCTGTCTGTCGTCCTTGGTAATTTTTCACAGCTTTAACTAAAGAAATACTAATGAACTGTCTTAATGACAGGCGGCTGATAATATGCCTGTTTAAAAATGAGGATGTTGATATTAAAAACAAAACCCATTTATGTTACATTTTCTTCCTCCCCACATCCGTCTCATTTTTTATCAGGTGGATTAACTATAGATTTTTTTGGTGACCAACTTCTTCCAATTGAATAATTACTATTGTAATTCTGAAAAAAAATATTTGTATAATATTGTATAATCTCCTGAGGATTATCCGCACATTTTACTGTCCTTGTTAATTTGTGTCCTCACTAGTATTTAAAATTTTTACTTCTGAGGAATTAACCTTATGACTCAAAAGAGCATGTCATCAGACAGAAAATAAAGAGCTACCTGCTAGCTTGCCAATTAGCCGTGTATTAAAGTTTTCAAACTGCTCTTTCCTGTATCTGCATTTCTAGAAAAACAAAAAACACTTCTAACATGTTAAGTAAATTTTGGTTTCTTACTGTGTTGGACATGACAATCAGTACAGCACTGAATTATATTTTAGTAAATAAAACAAAGATACTTACATGTGTGCTGCTATAAGTTAGCAAGGATAGGCTAGCAGTGAAACTGTAAGACCCAGTTGGACTATTTAGAAAGATATCTTCTAACAAAGAATCAAATGGTAATGCATTTCAAATTAAGCTATTAGTGTTTTCTGTTAAGCAACTACCAAACTGGGATTTTATCCATTAGTCAAAAAACATCTGTTGGTCACATTAATGAAGGAAATACAAAAAACTTAGTATTTTTTATGAAAAAGTTAGACTCTTATGTCACAATTGATACTTTAACATCAGTGTTATTGTATGTAATTTTCCACTTTTATGTTTTGACTGCTATGGTTTACTCTGGTGTTGGCTAATAGGAAAGCCGAATATCTGGTTATATTAGTCTCACTGAAACTGGGTATTTTTACTGAGTCAGGACAGAAACTACGGTTCCTCTGCATGTACACACTTGCAGGTTGTTGGTTAATAAGAGTGGATATTCCTCTAAGTAATGACGGTAATATTTTGTATAAGGTTAGGTTTTTAACTTGAGAAACAAACATATGTCCATTTGAAGCAATCAAATCAAATGATGAGCAAAGGAAATAGTACAAAAGACACTCATGCAGAAGGTTGGTAATAAGACATCTTTATTAACCATTTGTAGAGACATGCTAGATCTCTGTACAGTGTGAATGAGAACCAGGTCAGCAGTAATCAGGTTTGATGCACTGATCTGTGATAGTACAATCACAAAAATCAGCAGGGAGACCATCCCGGCCCCTGCTCCAACACGCAAAGATCCCATTTACGTCCCTCAGTCCATCTCTGTGGAATGTTGAAATGGGCCGTCAACAAATAAAGGCGGACTCTGCCATATTCAGCGTTTAAATACAATTGAGTATCTCCAAAATTCAATCTGAAAAACAAATACTCTAGAGTTATTTGTTAGAGTGCTTTTCTTACAAGGAACCACAAACATTTTGTTGCAAAATGGACCCACTGTTGAGGGAAGTTCAATGGCACTTTATTTTGGTGTGTTTGTATTCTGGTGAAAGTTTCCTGCGATATTTTAACCAGCTGTTTTACCATTTGGCTCATTATGTTGGTTAGAGTTTGTTTTAGAAGTGTGCTCCATATATAGGTGTGTGAAAACAATTCAAAACCAACGCTTCTACTCTAGGACACACTACTCCAAATTGTATGGAAATTAACAATGAACATTTCCTTTTAACGGTTTACATTTTCACTCTATATCTAAAACACATTCTGCAAAAGTGCTGTAAAGACTTCACATCAAAGACACATCAAATCAAAGTAGTGTTCTTAGCACTGGCTGACTTCACCACCAGAACGTTATGATAACTGGCCCGAAGGCGGAAAGAAATAGTCCATAATGTCAACATTTTCATTCAGTTTAAAAACAAGCAGGAAAAAACAAACAAACGTGGAAATACGTTATGCGACAGTTTCTTTAACAATCAGACACATCTTTGAATTAAGCGACTGTACAATTAGAATGAAACGTCTCCCAACTTCATAATAACCTGAAAGGTCTACATGTGCAAATTAGTCTTTAGTCGGTGAGGAAACAGAAGAAGAACGTTTTAAGGGTGTAGTTGATCCGTCTGCTCAAAGGGCACACGGCAGAGGGCTGGACTCTTCGCTGCTCGTTTACAGCGATCTGCATACACAGATCATCATTAAACACATAATTCTCCCACAGCAGCTGGACGGACACAGTCCGTGACGTACAGACCGAAGGTGTCCTTAAAGAGAGCCGGAATGTGGCGGGAGTGAAGTGACGTGACAGTGGCCCTCAGTGGAACTGCGTTCTAATGCCGTCCATACAGAAAGCACAAATTCACACACACGGCAAAAAATAGAAAATAAAAATGAAATCAAAAGGTCGTCAGAAGTCAAGTATAGAAACCCAGCTCTTAGAACGCTGTGCAATCAAGTCACTGGTGGAATATTACATTTTTCAAACTCGTGTACACAGGTAGACAGTACCTATGCTTTACAACTAGGCATGCATTACATACTCTGGACTTTACAGCTCGAATTGATCCGTAATGTCTGAAATACAAATGTGAGGATAACAGTAGGGCTACAGGCAGGAAGGCTGTGATTGGCTGTTCTGTAATTAGCTTTGAGATACTGAAGAATAGTCAATGATAAAGCTGAAAACGTTATTTGTTTTGCGATTGCCCACAATCGTCGTGGCACACAATACGGTGTGGTCTGTTCTTCAGGCTCTCAGACATGTTCTCGTTTTCCTAAAGCAGATAAAGAAAAAAGCTTCCAGAGGAATCCACCTTGTTATACAAAAATATGGAAAAAAAAAGAAACCTTTTACTTTTCCACATGGGAGAACTAAATCTATTCTCAGATTCGGGTTTTTTTGGGATGAAGTTTTACCAAGTCATACCACTTTTTTCTTTACTTTTCTGTGTGTGGCATTTTTGTTAAAGTAGACCCAATTTCACATATTGCTAGTTCCAACCGATCAGCGGTCGGATGAGGAAACCGGGATCTCAACGTGCAAAGTCAACAGCGGGGTTAACCAATGGGAAGCAAAGTAACAAAGCGTGTGACGTCGATGATGGAGATCCACGGAGGAACCATGAGCACTAACAGGAGCAGCCGCTTTCAGTGGTCTGGGGCTCCTGGGGTTTGTCCAACTTTATGTCGATCACTGAAAAATATTATTAAGGAAGCCAAGCAAGCAGGTCAACAGGACATTGTATAGATCATTAAAACTCAGATACGTTAAACAGAGAGACTTTTCAAGTATTTATAATTGCCTATCAGTGTTTCTGAAAACTGGAGCCAACAGTGCAGATAAACTGCAGGCCCTGATCGCCTCAGCGGTCCCACAGGTTGATCAACTCCATCTTGCAAAAGGAACATAAATCATCAAAATTATCAGAAGCACTTTAAGAAAATAATTTTGTATGTAATAAATATATATAGAAAGTGTTTTACTTTTTGAATTGAATAAAATAAATTCACTTTTTGGAAGATAGGCAGCTTAAAAGAGAACACACAAAGACACTAGCTGCACTGCAAGTTTCCAACCACTAGATGGCGTTTTTTCCTAACATTCCAATAATTCACCAATGAGATTCTGAATGAATCTGAGCAGAGTCACAGCGGGTTTGGTGCCTGTCTGCAGCAATCACTAGCAGAGAGGTGGGTTACATCATGGAGGGTCATCAGTCCGTCACACAGGCAGACTGAAACAACAACCATGTGTGTGCGCACACACGCACAGAAACTGAAGGGGAAATTAGAGAGAGCAATAAAATTAACGATTCTGATTTTGAGCTGTGGGAGGAAGCTGGAGTACCAAGAGAGAACATGCCAACTCTATAAAGAAAGACCCCAGGTTGAGGTTTCAACCCTGGAACTTCTTTCTGCAAAGCAACAATATTACACTGCAAAAAACACAGTGTTAAGTATTTGGTTAGCGTTTCTAGAAAGAAGACAAAACTAACTCATAAGTAACTTTGCAGAAAGATACAGGAGCTTGATTTAAGTCAAAATTCCTTAACTGATGAAAACATACTGGTCCACCGGCAGATTATTTCACTTATAACAAGACATTTTCCCCATGGTGAAAGTGAAATCACCTGCCAGTGAAACTAGCATTTTGCAATCAGTATTAAAGAATCCTTGGCTTGTGAAACAAGCTCCGATGTTTCTCTGAAACATTATTTTTAGGTTAGTTTAGTCTTGTTTCCATTGTGTTAAGATATTTGCACAAGAAACTAGACTACAAATACTTGGTAGGATTTTTTTCAATTAAAACAGTCATGTTAAGTGAAAAAAATCTGCCAGTGGAATCAGTACTTTTCCATTAATATTAAGGAATTACTGACTTAAAGCAATCTCCTATATCTTGCTGAAAAGTTACTTCCAAGTTGGTTTTGTCTTATTTCATGTTCACCAAGATATTTTCACTAAAAACTAGTAAGATTTTGTGTTTTTGCAGTGTATTAATCATCCCACGCTTATAAACAGGGTTCTATTTTTATTCATTCCTCGGAACAGTTTTTTGGACAAAGAGAAAGCGTCCAAGTGATGCAGCCCCGTCCGTCTGCTGTATTATGATGGAGACATTAACTTTGAATGAATTCTGGCTTAAATCACTGTGGAACAATTGCCTAGCTAATGAGCCAAGGCTGCAAAAAATAAATAAAAAACAGTGCTATTCCAACTTCATCTTAGAGACACAAAAGGCACATCCTGGCTAATCCAGACCTTCTAGTAAACATGAAGGTGCAGCAGTAGCAGCCTCTTCTTTATGGGGCAACAAACACGTTTGGCCTACATGTGTGCAAACTAGATCCAAACAAGTCCCAGCGTGGCTGTCAAGCAGCCCGGTACGAGGTGGAGCCTTGCCGTGCGGTCGCAGCTAGCGGCTCCGGTAGCGGCTCGGCTCGTTCCCGCTGTTTTACAGTGGAGCGCGTGGTGGTATGATGTCATTTGAAGGGCAGCGGTTTAACGCGGCGCGTGCCAGAGCGTTCCCGCGTGGACCGGCTCGCCCCAGTTGGAGGATGGGAGCGCGTGTGTCAGCTGCCAACATCACCAAACCAAATGAGCCTCGTCAGTCATGAATATTTTAGCGGTCGGCATAACTCAGTAATGGCTGTGGCTCCAGCTCAAGACGATTTGAAATTTCTCAACAGTAGTTTTGTCGGCGCGGTTGTGTCAAGAGAGTGGAAGAGACACTCGAATGAGCCAGAAGTTAGTTTTTACATTATTAAAAACACAAAATAAAACGATACAAATTTGAATTTATACAAAATACACAGTGATGAATATGTTTATTATGCAGTAGCTATACCATCCTAATCTATTAAGGGAAGAGGGGAAGCTGCAACCTTATTGAAAAAATGAACAGGGCAGCTTCAAATTAAATGAAATGTGTACGTTTGTTTTTCTTTTTTTTGTTGTTGTTTTTTGCTCCTCCTGCTTTCAGGCCTTCATTTGATTTCTTTCCTGTTTGCCTGAGTAAAGCTGCAGGTGTTTGCGGCATGCTGGAGTAGTCTGATTCATAGTGAAATCCCAAATGGGATTTTCTTGTCAAATTAAAGCGCTTTCTCCAGATCAGAACCTGACGAAGAGTAATCAGCGTGACTGAAAGGCAAACTGAATGTAAATCATGCTGCTTTGCAGGGAAACAACAGGTACACGACATGACTTATTCTGCTTAATCTTGTTCCACAATCCTCATTATTATTATTATTGGGATTTTGTTGTTGTGATAAACTAACAAAAAGTAGAGCTTAACTGTTCAGAGGGACGTGAGTTACACATGAGCTTGGCTTGTGGCAAACTGCAAAAGAGATTTCTCACCAACTCCTTTCAACCAGAGATGCTCACAGATAATTTCTTCCAAGTCTCAAGTCTTTAGTCCACAACTGAAGTAAAACTTTTCTTATTAAATCCATAACATCGTCGGCCTCTGACCCTGCATGACTGTAGTCAGGAATCCAGACCCGTACCCTGCAAAAACAACAAATCTGACACATTCTTCTATCCAAGTACCGTTCAAATAAGACAAAAATTAACTTACAAGTTACTTTTCAGCAAGATATGAGCTTATTTTAAGTCAATAATTGACTAGTATTCATAAAAAGTAGTTTCATTGGTAGATAATTTCACTTACAAGACATTTTTCCCATGCTATTAGTGAAATAATCTGCCAATGAAACTAACTTATTCATCAAAATTAAAGATTTATTGAGTCAAAACAATCTCTTATCTTGCTGAAACATTAACTTGTAAGTTAGTTTTGTCTTATTTCTAGAAACTAGAACAAAAATACTTGGTAATATTTCGTGTTTTTGTAGTGTACTGTTTCACTTTAGCAATCTTTTAATATCTATTTAGGAGTTATCTTTAATATTTAAATCAGTATCTAAAGATGTAACGAAAGATTGTTGCATATTATTTTGAAAATTGCTAAAATGTAATCTTTACCTTAACAGTAATAGTGGGCATTTCTGTTCCAAAAAGAAAAAAAAAAAGAAGAAATGAATTAAAAAATGTTATTTTTAGATTTTTTTTAAATTATTATTTAAAATGGCTAGGCTAACTCCTGTTTATCCCTGCCTTCCTTCATATTTTCCATTCCTTTATATTGTGCACTAAGTTTAAATGGTTTTCTCCTCACTATGAGCTGGATAAGGTTGAATAATATTGGGAAACTATTTTCAAAATTCACATTATAGCCTCTGTTTTCAATCTTAATAGCAAAGATGATCAAATATGAGACATAAATTACCACAAAAAAAAAAAATAAATAAAAAAAAAATAAAAAAACAGGATGGAAGTGCTTCTATTTTGACAATTTTAGCTGGAAGGATCTTTGTAAAGTCGCAGCTAGCTTAGCAGCGAGAGAAATGTGAGGGGTAAATTATGTTTATTATGATTTCTAAATGATCCAAAGCCATTTAACACAGCATTCATTTGGAGAGACATTAATGTAGCCATTATTATGAAGCTACAGCGAACATGAATATGTTTGTTATGAGGCATTAACATCCCATAATCCACCAGCGTCACCGGCTCTGAATCAAGCTCATGCTTTCACAATAAAACAGCTGCAGTCTGTCATTCACATACCGACTTCCCTTCACTTTTCATTACAAACGGTTTAAGACTTGAGTCTCAGTCTAGT